CTGCCATCTTCAATGCCTTGGCTTTTGCTTCTTGCCTATAGGCTTATTGTTTCAGGATGTTGCTTCTCCAGATATTACATCTGTATTCAAGGCAGACAGAACAGGGAAGGGCGGTGTACGAGATACTGTCAGTGCTCTGCCCATATCCTCTAGTTCTTATCACTTCAGTGCAGTGGCCAGACTTCCAACTGCTAGCACCAGCATTCCTATGCCTGAGGGTTTTCTCTGGCTGCCTGAGCAAAGAGAAACCTGCTTTGCTGCCTACAACCCCTCCTCCCAGCAACACTCAATCAAGGACTAAAGAGAGTGGGTGTAAATACTCAGCTTCCTTGTCCCACTTGGGTAAGATGATTTTAAGGCAGCTGTTTATACTGCTTTGTAGAGTTTCCTAGTGCGATTAGGCTCCAGTCACCCTCAGGAGTAAAGGGCTTGATAATGAATCCTTTATTGGATAACTATTCCCCCATTTCCTGTCTCATTTCTCTACTATCGTACCAGTGTTTTTTGGGATGACATCAAAATAAACTACTTCTGTTTGTCTCCCTGTCTCAGGACCTGTTTTGGGGGGAATCCAAACCAAGACAGGCCATCCTCACCTTTCCTCCTTCTTCCTGCCTTTAAAGCAGACAGTTGGTGCAGTGTAAAGTTGGTGCTCCAGTAGCTATTTTACAAATAGGAGATGACAAGCCAGTATGTGGAGGGTGGAGTGGAAAGAAACAAAGAACTTGGGTCAATATCCTTGAGCCACTGTACCAGCCGTGGATTGTCTACTGCCTGGTACAAGAAAAAAATAATCCCTATTTGTTTAAGCCATTTCTTTTTTCTTTTTTTAAGATTGGCCCTGAGCTAGTATCTGTTGCCAATCTTTTTTTTTCGTCTTCTCCCAAAAGCCCCCCAGTACATAGTTGTATATTCTAGTTCTAGGTCCTTCTGTTTCTGCCTTGTGGGATGCTGCATTAGTATGGCTTGATGAGTGGTGCTAGGGCTGCACCCAGATTCCGAACCAGTGAAACCCTGGGCTGCCGAAGCAGAGCATGGGAACTTAACCACTCAGCCACGGGCCAGCCCCATTTAAGCCATTCTTAATTGAAAATTTTTTTACTTGCAGTCCAATGAGTCCCTGATACAAATAAACATAGAAATAAAGTAATTATAGACTATAGTATACTAAGAGCTATGAAGGGAATAAACAGAGTGTTGTCATAAAATATTACAGGGGAGGGGAGTTTTTTTTTTGGGATGACGTTTAAGTTGAAACCATGAGGATAAGAGGGTTGACCATTTTGAAATTAGACAGCATGTCTTAGGAAGAACCAACATTCACCAAGACCCAGAGTAGGAAAAGTTTTTAAAAAGGGAAAGAGCAGAAAACAGATCAGTGTGTCTGGAATATAATAAGAGTGATGTTAAAAACCAGATAGACAGATTGGGGAAGGCCCAAATAGAGAGTTTATTCTAAATGCAATAGGAAATATTGAAGGGATTTAAGCAGGGAAGTGATCCAATTTATTTAAAAAAATACTCACTCTAGCAATTTAAGAATCAAACAGCAATTTGCTGGGCTTATGTATAAAGCACTGAACTGGGTGCTGTGGAGAGAAGAAAACAGCATACCTGCCTTCTAATAATGGCTCTAAGTTCCACAAAACAGTGACGAGTGTGGGTGTGAGGGAGAAGAGTAAATTCTGCAGTAACTCTGGCCTTTGATACTAATAGCAGGCTTTAACTCCAAACTCCAGAGACAAAAATCTTATGTTCAATTCCTGCAACCAGAATGCTAAGAAGGGCAAATAATTCCCATGGCAATATTGATTTTTCAAAGTTGTGTATGTGGGGCTGGTTTTCAGGCAAGTACTTAGGAATATACTACAAATATACTACCAACCCAGAAATTAGAAATTTCAAAGTAGATTGTATAATTTTACTGAAAGCACAATTCTACCACTAGATGGTGACATGTACACAAAATACTGAAAACAGTCATCCTTATCAATCTTCTGGCTATTGAAGGTGTATGGTGACTGCTGATTACTGGTTTGAAAATACAGATTTACAAGAAGAATTTAGGGAATATTTTCCAGAGATTCTGCTTCATTATTCTTTCAGAATGCATACCTTTCAAACACATTAAAAGGTCTCTGCTGATACATATACCAAGTCGGCACAGAAGACTGTAGATTCTAGAGTTAGGAGGCAGGAAACCTTGCTTTTACTGGCTTCTATACCTTTATCTGTTAACAAGCAGCTGAGGTAGATAAAAGGGTTGGTAAACTACAGCCCATAGCCTATGGCCAGCTATATGTTTTTGTATGACCTGTGGGCTAAGAACGGTTTTACGTTTTTAAAGGGTTGAAAAAAATTTTAAAAAAATAGTATTTTGTGACACATGAAAATATGAGTATTAAATTGCAGTGTTCGTAAATAAAGTTTTATTGGGACACAGCTACATTTATTCCATTTTGTATTGTCTATGGCTGCTTTTGCGCTAACAGAGTCGTGCAGTTGTGATAAGAGACTTGGATTGCCTATAAAGCCTAAAATATTTACTATATGAACCTTTACAGAAAGTTTGTTGAGCCCTGAAGTGATGACTGAAGAGCAATGATCACTTAGACAATAATTCTTTAGATTCTCAAAGCATTTTAAGCCAAGCTTCATTTCACATAATTTGTTAAAGAAAAAAAAAAACTAGGAGGCTTGTGATTGTTCAAAAAATATTTCTTTAAAGAACACAAGTGTGTCTTCAGTACAGCCTAGTACTTCACATCTAAGGTAGTGGTTGTCCTCATTTTCAAGAACTGTTACGGGTCCTCTCTAGTTTTAAAAGCATAGTTGACAGATATTTACAAATTATCAAAAGAATGTCGGTATCAGTTAGGAATGTGTTTGGCTACAAGTAATGGAAGTGTAAGAGTGGCTTACGAAAAAGGAGTTTATTTTTCTCACATAAGCAGTCTTGGAGTAGACAGCTGCTCAAGGATGCATCAGGGATCAACAGTTTATCACTCTGTATTATCAACTTCATGGTTGGCTTTTATCCTGTTTGTGGTTTCATTGTTAAAAAAAAAATCACAACACGGATGCTGTATTCTGTTTCACGACCATATTTCAGGCAGAAAGAAGAAAGCGTTAGGGAGCATGTCTGCTGATTAAGAATGGGCAAGTCTTTCCAAAAGACCCACTCTGCAGATTTCTGCTTATATGTCATTTGCAAGAACTCAAACCTATGGCCCGCTGCCAGACAAACCATCCCATAATTGGTTTTAAAGCAATCACAAATATTCCTTGGGGCTTTCCTTCCCCAGACCAAGGTCTCTCAGCTGCCACCTGAAAAAAAAACCCCAATCTTGAGTTTGGCTAGTCTCTGTTGTCAAGGAAGAAAAGGGGTGGGTGGGAACGGATGCCGGATGGACAATGTCCGCTACAGGATCCAAAGTCAAGTCTGCAGACCTCCAAGTTTTATAGTGAAGAAGGGAAGATGATGGCACAACAGCTCTACAGCTCCTAAGGATCACCTGTTCATATAAAGCAACTTAAAACAGGCTGGGCAGAAACTTTATAGTCCTGACTTCAAGCAGCAGAAAGGCAAAGAAGGTGGTTCTGGCATGGAGAGATGGTGTGACATAACCTCGACAAAACCTATAAAAGGATTACTACAAGGCCGTAACATCTGCTCCCGTTGCAGTTTTAAGAATATTATGTACGCTACCTTTCGGACCTCTCAGTCACATCTCTACATAAATATACTGGGTACCGAAGTGAGTGAGGAAGGTACTGAGGGCAGGAGGAAGGAAAAATTTCCTACGCAAACTAGTTAACACACCACCAAACTTCAGCCGAGTATGCCCTTTCCTTCGCCTGTTCTTCACTCCCCGCCCCCTCCCCCATCTTAATATCCTTAATCTTCGCTAAGAAGCAGGATATGCTGTTTCAGGTGGAGTTGTAGATGGGCAATTCGCGAGGGGCCCTCTTGCGTAAAAAGAAGATGCCATGTGAGCACTTCACTCCGCCATTTCTAGTCCCATCAAGTTGTCTTACTGCATGAGGACAGACGAGCCTTACAGAAACGAGGGTAGCAATAAACACGGATGCGGGTTACGCCGGCCCCTGCGCTCTTCCATCCTCACAAAGCCCCGCGGGGAGGCGGCCGTGTGCCTCGACCTGGGCTGCGGCGTCGCCCCGGCCTAACTCCCCCATTAACCTCCAGCCTTCCTCCACCCCCAAGCCTGAGCGCGGAGACGGACACGGGAGATACCAGCGCCCATTCCCCTCCGAGAGCCCGGAGGAAAAACGGCGAAGCGCAGGGGCGGGGGACAGGGCGGCGCGAGCGACCCGGCGCTCGCTGGGCCTTGGAGCCTGCGGAGTGGGCCGCAGTGGGCGACGTCGCGCAACCGCGACCCGCTCGCCGCCTCCGCCATCTTCCCCTACTCACCCGGACTCCCCCCGCGGCCGCGCTGGCTTCGCGTTTCCCTTCCGGCCGCTGACAGAGATCCGGGCTGGGCGGGGTGGGCGAGCGCGCGGAGGGGGTGGACCGAGGGCGGGGAGGCCGGACGGAAGAGGAAAGGGAGGGCGGCGAGCCGGCCGCGGCGGGGTGTGGAGCGTGCGGCGTGTGTGCGGAGGGAGAGGTGGGAGGGCGGGAGGCAGGAGAGGGCGGGAGGCGGAGGAATGAGAGCGCGAGGCGCTCCTCGTCGGGTCCTTCGCCCGGGCGGAAAGAGCCGAGCGCAGCCCGAACGCTCTATTAAAATGGCGGCGGCGTCGGCGGTGGCCGCGGCGTCTGGTCGGTGAAGTGACTCTGCTGCTTCTCTCCCCACCCGCCCCCTCCCTCCCTCTCCCCTCCCCCCGTCCTTCCCCCCCTTCCCCGCCGCCGGCGCCTCCGCGCCCCTCCGGCCTGCGCACCTCCCCTCGCCCCCCTCTTCTCCCCCGCCCGCTCCGGGGACCGCCGGCCCCCTCCCCCATTCTGCTCCCCGCCCCGTCCCCGCCGCCGCCCGCCCTCGTCGCCTCCCCGCCCCGCCGGCCGGCCGGCCCCCTCCTTTGCCTCTCTCCCCTCCCCCCCGCCGGTCGGGATCAGTCAGTGCGATCCGAAGCGGGGGAGGGGGGGGCGGCGGCCGAACGATGTGCGAGAACTGCGCAGACCTGGTGGAGGTGTTAAATGAAAGTAAGTAGCCGCGGCGGCGGCCTGTCGGGGTGCACGGTTTGGGGGACCCGCGCCGCTCCCGGGCTGCCGCGGCCTGCGGGAGGCGACGGCCGAGCCGGGCGGCGTGCGGGCCTAGCGCCCCGGGAAGGTGCGCGGTGGCGCGGCCGGCTCGGCGCCTCAGGCCCAGCCCGGCCCAGTTACCTGGGCGCCCGAGAGGCGGCCGCAGCGGAGCTCCGGCCAGGCCGGGCCTGGGCGGGCTCAGCTCTCGGAAAGTTTCCTCATTACAGGTGTCAATTAACGAAGGCACTAATGAGCCTTCGCCTCCTTCGCCCTGCCGGGAAGGTGAGGGAGGTGGGGTCCGAGGACGAGGCTCTCGTCCGCAGTCCGAACCCTTCGACGCTCCGGCCGCCCTCTTTGATTTTCGGCGTGCGGCCGAGGCCTCTCTTACCTGCTCATTTTCATTAAACTCCCTGGGAGGAGGTTGGTGGTTTTCCCCTCCCTTGGGGGTGTGTGGGCGTATTAAATCCTTCTGCCAGCCCTTAAATAGCTGAAAATGAACTGTGATAGTGATGATTGGAACCTTCATACCTATTTTTTTCGTTAGATTAGTTAATGATGTTTCTTTTTGGTGTACTATTCGTCGTTTTAATGGTAAATTCTGTTACATTAAGGAGAGCACTGCACTACAGATACCATCCCAGGATAGTCGTGGCCCGTTTCCTAGAATGAAAGGCCTTACTGCTTGTACTTTTGGTTATTAAAGAGCGTACGTTGATCTTTTCTAGCCAGATTGTTTTAATTTGTTACTCCTGACCTTCGTAAGATGGTATTTTAGCTTAAAGAAACAGGATGTATGCAAGTTAACTACTTCTGGCCCCAAAGGCCTAGTTGGACGAGGTGAATTAGATAAAAGATTAATTTGCAAAAACTTGATTGTTGAGAGAATGCTCATTTATGAAAAGCTTATGTGGGTTTTGCATTTGTGTTGTGTGTGTGACACTTCAAAAGACTTCCAAACTACCTATTTTCTAGTATGATTGTTTAAAACAATTGATTTATAGAATGTGTGATCTTATTTGTGTTTGAATTTTACTTTATTATTTATGTGTTTGAATTTCACTTTAGTGACCAAAGGCAGCAGTAAAAGTGGAAGGATTCTGGTTTACTTTCATCTGTGCATTTTCTTCCTGACAGGTGGAAGTAGGATTTTGCACATATTCAAACTATACTTTCCAATATTTGTCATTTTAAGTTTTCTTACAATTTTTAGGTTATTTGTGTTTATTTTTAGATACTTCCATTCTCGGTGCAAGTGGTTTATGATGTGAGGATAAGCATAAGTCCTTAGTACTTATTTCAGTGAACTATATTTTAATTTCAGATGTAAGTTGTGTGTTTATGGCTTTATTATTCTGAAATTGGAAAATGAATAGCTTTCCTACCTAATATATATTATGAAAAACTGCTTTTAGTAACTTTGTGTTTTAAAAATTATTTTAAATTTAATTAGGGAAGTTAATTTTAAACATAGTGTCTGAAGGAACTAAAGTTTGTTGATCTTTATCATCTTTTGAAAAGAGACATGGTGAAAGGTCCTATTGAACGTTATTTGGGAAACCTCTAGAAATTTGTCTAGAAGCACTCAAAAGTGCAGTGGATTTATGGCAAGTTAGAAATGTGGAGAATTGAAGTAGAATTTAGCTTTTATTGCCTTTAAGTAAATACAGTTAGTTGAACTAGGTTCGCAGAATCTGGCCATGCAGACCATCTAAGAAACCTCTTTTAATAAACGTAAGAAAGATTTTCTATTTGTGTATAAGCCCATGGTCTCTAAAAATACTTAAGACAATCTCTTAATATTTCCTTTAAGGCTCAGTTTAAAAATTTGCCTCCTAAACACTACTCTCACAATTAGGCTTCCCCTTTTTTTTTTTAAAAAAAAAAAAAAGTTACTTCAGCAATTTTATTTGTAGGTTATATCAAGCTGTTACAAGTTATCTTTTTTCCCTGTAGTTTTGAAATTGTTTTCATTTTTCCTTTGTGTAGTTCCTGTATCCCAAACATAAAATGCTTAAGTTCCCTGAGAGCAGGGGGTATTACTGTATCTCATTACGGTAACATTTATCCGTGACTGGGTGGGAGCATGGTGGTTGGAACTTGATAAAACTTGTTGAATTGAATGAAGTAGGTTATATGTCTTTCTTGTAATCTTGCTCACAATAATTATCTAAGTCTGTCCTTTTTCCCCCGTAGGTTGTGCAAAGATGAGCAACAATCCATCCTTGATTAGAAATTGAGTTAAAGTCTCAAAATGATGTGCTCAGAATTCCTTGCTCAGTATAACTCCCCATAACAGTTTAACCAAGAGAAGTAGTAAATTATGTGCATTTTTGGGTGGTGTGTTTCAAGTTGATGTTGAAAAAGATAGGTTTTTGGTATTTAAAAAAAATAATTCTTATTGCTTGTGAAATTTACAAACCCTGATCAGACTTAAAGTATGCCTGAGGATATTAGTAAATGTATAATTTAAAAATTTTGTGTTTTAAATGACAGGGTAGACATGACGTGGATAGTATAGTTTTATATCTGATATGCAGAGAGTTTTTGGTAAGGGTAAAGACTTCATATGAAATATTTATTTTAAAATCTGACAGAATGTAATGTAGTTAAAATAAAAATTGGTAACAAAAGATTGTAAATAGCTCCCATTTGTCATCAGTTTTTGATGAGAGGATTAGTATTACTAGTTATACCTCTAGTCCTGCTGAGAATCTGAAGCTGTAAAGTCAAACCATGGAAACATACAGGTATACAGACAAAATTTTACTTGCAGGTTAAGGACCCTGTGAAGCCTGTCTGTGGAACCAGGCTAAGGAACCCATAATAAGGACCTGCTCATCTCCTTTTTTAATATGGTTTTGACAGATATTCTAAAACTTGAAATTACTTTTCAAGATAGCTTTTGGCTTTAGTGTTAGAATAACCAGTCTCAACAATACTAATGTATTTGAGTTTCCATTTTCCTTTCAATGCTTTGTTTTTAATAAGGAAGACATTTTAAAAGCTTGAGATGTATCAAGTGAATTTTGCTACTGTCAGTTTGTGGGGTTGCATTCAGTTTAGGAAATAATTTTAAGTTTATATTCCTGTGCTTGTTCGGTTAAGTTTGTGAATTTGCTGCTTTTATAACTACTTTTGTGAACCAATTTACTAAGTCCAAAGCATTTCTGGATGTTGATGTGAAGTTGGAGACCTGATGTTATGCTTTTGGCCATCGCCATAGGTAGCTCACTAGTAAGTTGAGCTGGTTATTTGCCATGCTAAGGTAAATTTCTCTGAGAGCAGAGTGAAATTGGCTTTAAATTTGATTTAAATCAGCCTTTTAAACCATTTGTATGTTGTGGATTTTATTGTATCTGTGTTTAGTGAATACAGTTTACCAGATGTTTAAAATGGACAATTTATTTGTCCCTCCTGACTATCCTTTGAGAAAAGCAGGAACATGTATTGGTATCTCAGTTTTAAAGGAGAAGAACTTGAACCTCAGAAAGGCTAAGTGGTTTGCTAAAGATCACCTGACATCTGCTTAGTTAGTAGTCATACCTGAACTAGAACTCAAGATAGTCTATCAGTATTTGCAGAATAGTTCTGTTTGCATTTTATTTTTAAAGCAGAATATTTTATTGAGCAGTTGTGTTGGGTACTTTATCAATTCTTTGAGGTAGGTACTCTATCACCCTTTTCAGATAAGAGAACCAAGGCTTAGAGTTTACATAACTTGCTTAGAGTCACATGACTATTCAATGGAGCCAAGATTTGAACAGGACTTAATCCCAGGTTAGGCTAAAAGCCCTTGCTCTTAACAGTTAGGCTGTGCTATATAAACTTTAGGCTCTATTTAAATAGAAGACATTATTATGAGTATACTGTTTGATTGGAAAAATGAAAAATTATTTTTATATATTTTCACGAATAGCCCCTCTTATATATTACTTTTGGTAAGGAAGATTGGCCCTGAGCTAACGTCTGTTGTCAGTGTTCCTCTTTTTTGCTTGCTTGTGCCAATCTTCCTCTGTTTTGTGTGTGGGACAATGCCATAGTGTGGCTTGATGAGCAGTGTGTGGGTCTGTGCCTGGGATCTGAACCTGAGAACCCCAGGCCACCGAAGTGGAGTGTGCGAACTTAATCGCTATGCCACCGGGCCAGCCCCGTTGTCTTTTATTTTTTTAATTAACGTTAACCTCTTTTTGCTGGATGGTGAATTCCTTAAAGTCAGGGGCTGTGTTTTATTCTTTTCCCAGTCCTAATATAGTACCTTGTAGAGAGTAGGTGCTTAGTAAACATTTTAGTGAATGAAAAGTTGTTGTAGAAGAGGAATGTGGTTGCCTAGGTAAATCAGTGTTCATTGAACTGTAGTCAGTAGTGATTTAGTTGTGAGAGTTTCTGGATGAAGTATGCTGTAGCTGCAGATTATATCATATATATTGCTTTTTATTATCTTATTCATAAATCAGTAGGTATATGCTTATAAAAAATATCCACCCTAACCAACTGCGTTCTAAATTAATAGACTATGCAAAAAGGCAAAAATTTGTTCTCTCTCTCCATAAGTGGTGAGATTTGGTCTGTGGGATGAAATTTTGCTAAATTTTGTTTAGGACTTTATATACCAGGAAAATAATTGGGCTTTTTGCCTTTTAATGTGATTAATACCTGTTAATGTTATTTTCTCTCAAATTATGTAGAAATTAAAAAGTCTCCAAATCTATGTTACTCACTTAATTCAGAATTGATGTAATATAAACCTGGCCTCCTCTTGCACTTTCCTTACTGTGGTAAAAGACAAGTTTCTCTTCCTGCCCAGGCCATATCCCCTTCTAAAGAATTTATCTTGCTTCCATGCCCTGGAAGACCTGCTCCCTAGCCATTGCTGATTGGATTCCAGATAGACTCTTAATCTGATGGGGGTGGGACTGCTGTCGATCAATCACATTTTTCCTGTCAGAAGTTTGACTAAAGTA